ACACACACACACACACACACACACACACACACACACACACACACACACACACAGACCGAAAAGAAAAGAACTTTGCATTGAGCTACTGGTAGTCTTCAGAAGTTTCGGTGAGTGTGCACACATTCACAACTCGTTTAATGTAATCAAAGCACTCATCCCTTATTGCCCCCCCTTTGAGCTTTTTTTTTTGCCCCTTCTTTCCCTGTTGTTGTCCCCCATTCTAGATTGCTTGCTTCTGATGTGACATAGAGAAGAGTCCGAAAGAAAAGAAAAGAAAAAGAAGAGTCCCATGGTTACGATCCAGACATGTGAACAGTCTTCCAGACCGTCCGGTGTTGGGTGTCTGGATGGTCTGTCTGGATCTCTGTTGGGATTTTAAGGGCATCGAGGTGGAAACGTGAAATGCGTGTGGGGTGTTTCTGTAGTACTTCGTACCAATACAACCGAGACTGTGTGTGCAAGAACAGATTGGATATCGGAACAGCTCATCATCCTTTCTTCACATTCACTGCCAACTGCGCGTGCAGCAACAGACCGGATATCGGAACAGCTCATCATTCTTTCTTCACATTTACTGCCCGCCGTCCTGTCCGCGGACAGGCTTCTTAGGTAACACGCACGCTCGAGCCCGAGAACCTCTCCGCTCACCGTCTGTGGAATTCAGAGTTCCACATGGGCCCGACTGGCAGGACTAGGGGTTAGGGGTTAGCGGGTAGGCTTAGGTACCAGGGACCAGTGTCTCTTTGGCCCTCGTTAGGGACCGTAGGGTTAGTAGGCCAGGTTAGGTCTGCTCAGGCCCTGGCACATTTTCATTTTAGCACCAGGCCACTGGTTCGCTTTGGGCGCCATTTCTCAGTTTAGGCGCCAGCCACTTTTCAGTTTTGGCGCCTGGTCTGATTCAGACACTGGTGCAGTTTCGGACTGGTTGAGGCAGCCTCCCAGTCAGACCAGCACTATTTATATCTGGTCCGCCTAGGTAGAGGCAGGTAGGGTTGAGGTATTCTTCAGTAGTCGACATGCCGGGCGCTGTAGGTAGTCGAGTAGAGCGCTGGGCGCGGATGGAGGTTGACAACATCGGTGGGAGTAGAGGTTGGCGGAGGCCAGGGGACTTACCTGTCGACTTACCTGCGACGCAATGGCTCCAGCTTCGTCTTCAGCACGTCCGCACCTGCATCAAGGCGACACCTTTCTGCAGGTTAGTACCTTGTGTACATGCACAAACACACACACACACACATACACAGACACACACACACACACACACAGAGAGAGAGAGAGAGAGAGAGAGAGAGAGAGAGAGAGAGAGAGAGAGAGAGAGAGA